GACAAAGGTGCTGACAGAAGATGAGAAGGATCTGGTGGGTCAAATGTGTGTGTATATTCATGTTTATTTTTCTACTGTATGTTCTTCTGGATAAAGATGAAGCAAAAGAAAAAAGTTCTCCCTGTCTGTCCGTCAAAGAGTAATCCTTAGAAATGCATGGGTGTGCATGTATACGGTATATGTGTTTATGTGCGACTTACGTGTACACTCCTTCAGAGGGGTGCTCGAGCTCATGTGGATGTTGTCTATCCAGATGTGTCCTCTGGTGCCATGCACAAAGAAACCCTCCATCACAACCTGCCACAGGGATACAAACTTAATATGATGCTTGTAATATCAAAGTTGCACTCAACACTTGCAATCATCCTCCCCTTCGCTGCAAGCTTCTTCAGCTGACTTTTTTATGAGAACATTAACTGGTTGTGATGTCTGTGACAAAGGCACCCAAAAACCATGGAGCCAAAAGAGACAATATGGTGTACTTTAGCTTCTTCTGAAGTCAAACCTGGCCTAAGGTGACAGAGATGTTAGAAATGACAAATGCCTATGCTCTGAGATGGATACATCTCTCTCTAACCAGCCATGATTAACACATTAAAGACAAGTTTCTGTTCCTGGGGAGACGCATAATAAAGAATCTGACCCAGATATCTATTTATCAAGCCGACATATATTAATATAGGTCACAGATATTGGCCTGATGCTTTCATATCATCCCTGTTATGATTTTTTGCAACCTCTTTGTTCAGCAGTTGCTCTTTTCCCTGTAAATAAAGATAAAGTTTGTTTCATTCATTCTTTTTCTAACAGTGTGGATTTATTACTACCTGGTAGTCTTTAGGGGAGCGAGGCAGGATGGTTCGACCCTCTTTCCAGACGGGGCCTTGATCATCCTTCAATGCCCAAAGGAGGGTCTCGTCGTTGTGGGCGTCCCGCAGCAGGACCTTCAGGTGGCCCTGGGCCTCTCCCCACAGCTGGTAGGAGAAGAGGAGGCAGAGGGGCCCAGTTTCGGCTGTCACCACGGGGCTCAAAAGCCGGGCTCGCTGCTGCTCTGTCTTTAGGCTGGCATCCATATACAGATAGCTGTTGAGCTCTGGAGGGGAGTGACATATGTCAAGATGAATGAGTGTGTGTAAATGAAATATAAACGTATAGTCAATATCAGAGGTCCCCCACACAGTTTTTGAACTTCTCAGCTTTACAAATATTACAAATAAAAAGTTCCTAAATCTAGATGTATAAACAAAGTTTGGTGATAAAACAACAAAAGGTAGCAGTGGAGAATTTCATATACTGTAGCAACAAACTGCAACCAAGCTGTTTTAGTATGTCGAACACACTGTCAGAAATGAACAGAGCTTATTGTAACCTTGAGTTTACTGGTTGCTACAGTCAAATGAACAACACATTTTCATTTCAGCCCTCGAGGCAATAAAATCTAGGAAATATGAAAGGCTGTGTAGACTTTCAATACCCACTGTAAATGGAAGCTGCTGAAAAAAAACAGTGTGGCACAGGTGGAGCGCATACTGTACATGTACTGTGTGTGCATACAGTCACAGACGGACTTACACGCATATATATCCATATGCACCCATGTACAGCATATGCTGTCACATGGTTCCAGATATTTCCAACATGACTCTCAAACAAACAATCAAACAAAAAAGAAATAACCAGTTTCTAACAGGAACGGGATCACCTCTGCACAATAGTCACACCAAACAATGGGGTTATGACAAATATAAACACACAGAAGAATAGATCCGGTGAGAGCGTCATTCATACTGTACATAGAGTGCTACCAGAACTCAGCTAAGACCCTTGGGTCCTATTTCTCTTCATTCCCTTCCAGGTAAATGACCTAAACAACGGAAAAGTTAAAAACTCCTGCCACTTCATTTGTTCATACCAGAGGATGTTTAGTTTTTAAATTGGATGCTGACATGAATTCCATTGTGAGGGAGCAAGATTGGTGAACCTGTTATATGTAAGAGTGCGTGTGTGTGTGTGTGTGAGAAAAAAGGAGCCTGCATGTGTGTGCCCATGTATTGTATATATGTGAGAGACTGACTCAATGAGGCATCTGGTGAAGAATTTCTTAAGTGGACCCTGTGGGAAAACATCCAGTATCAACAATCTGCAGATTAAATCACCTGCTCTATCATGAACTCTGTGTGTGTGTGTGTGTGTGTGTCTTTGTGTGTGTTGGGGAAACTACATTCCTTTCCATTTTACAGGCAAGTAAAAGTCCTCTAAAACAAATCAGGCAGTATGTTCATGTTTCCAAGTAGCACCACAAGGTTTGTCTGTTTAACGCATCTGTCTTATCTAAAGCACCTCTCAGTACCATCCAGGAAGAGTGTATGTTTTTAGCGCGGCTGTGCTCGAGTTATTGAGTGACTGGGCGATAACCTTTCACTGTGTGAGTGTGTGCAGTCTTTCCAGCAGATCAGACAAGGAGTATCTGGAGAGGCAAATCTTCCTCTAACTTGACAGCTCCCCTCTGCTCGCCATACGCCCAGACTCGCCTGTGTGTGACACTTCAGACACTGTGTGTGACAGCATGTCCCTTGGCAGCCCTGGAATGAGTGTGTTTGTGTTTCTGTATACTCTCCCTTGTTGTACATGATGCTGTTTTATCAGGGTGTATATGCGTAGAGAGGATGTGCGAGTGAAACATATTTGTGACTCTGTGAGGCGTTTTATCACTCATTTTAATATGAGCACCAAAGCTGCTTCCATCTGCCTTGTGTTGAAGCACGGCATCCTGCAGTGAACCCCCCATTGTTGTGCCTATTGTTCAACAGACAGCTCATAATCGAGACTGCCTCACAATACACAGCACAACAGAGCATTATTAATCTGTTTCCCAGCAGTCTCCTGCAGCGTGAAGCAAATAAGGATTCGATCTATGAAGCCTAGTTAGTAGTTTTTACAAGCGGCAGTATATTAAGCCATACAATACAACAGTATATGGTGGCAAATTCCAGTTCTGTGCTTTATTACCAGTTTAATGACTGAGGTCAGTAGATGAGGAGATTGTGCTTTCTGGGTCACATGTAAAAAGACTTTCTATAGGGGATTAAACAGTGATTTGATAGTGGTAAAATAATGATCCTGTGTTGACTGGAATTTCTGACCTTTGACATCTGCAGGAAAATCAAAGGCTGGTGTGGCGTGTCAGAACGGCTGGAAAAGATACTCCATACATGAAAGCTTCAACATGACTAATGTAAGAAAACCTTTCCAATCCCTCTGTGATGAAAGAAGCCGCTTTGAAGCCCCCTGTCAGAGATGGTTTTGACCTAAATAGGTCACGCTTCGGGAACATTTCTGCCTTTGCTGTGAGAGCAGTTGACCTGCTGATCCAGGTGATCATGAATTAGGACAAAAAAAGGAGGCATGCTGAACCTCTTGTTTAATTCTCTCCAGCTGGAGTAATGCTGAATCTTTCATGGAGACTTGCGCAAAACCAGTGAATTTTAAAACAAGGCTAGGATCATTTCTTTCCCTTATTATGAAACATTACAAATAATGCTTTAACAACTTAAACCCAGCAGAAAACATCTACTATAGCTCTTAATAACATTCCAAAAGCTAGACTTTTGATCCTCAGGTATGTATAAAGGTAAAATAAATAGCTTTCTTCAAATAGTGTCAAAGTAGATGGAGGTCTATATATGCAGCATCAATGGCAGGACAACTTGGAATAACTGCTCGACTTTTGGTTCTCCTGCTCTGAACTTAATTGG